CTTGTTCATCTATGGTGTTGGCGGTTGGTAAAGAAGGTTCGAACATGGCGTTTAGCCATAATTGGAGTAACCAAAATGGGCCAGCTAATAGAATGTTTTTAGAGGTGTGGGATTTGAGACTCGAAACGGCTGACCTCAGGCTCTCATAGAGGTCAACTAAGAGTAATTCACTTAGGCACACTTTGCGATTTTCGTGTAAATCCCTAGCTAGAGGAATGAATCTACTAGCTACCTGCAGGGATCTACTGCAGAAAACGTACCTAGACAGCCACAGGGTTAAGAATGCAATATGCTCTATGTCAGACACATTATCCCCTTCAGCATGATAATGGCTGATAAATTTGGAAAAGCTGGCTAACTTGACTTCGAAGTCAATTATGCTGGAGTGTTCTTCGTTGTCAGGAACATAAGTTTCTCCCACTGGCGACAGCCCAGTAATAGCCGCTATATCAAAGAAAGTTGGGGTAATCATTCCACCTGGGAGATGGAAAGTGTTGTAGGTACTATCCCAGAAATAAAGGGACGCGAACAGCAGAGGGTGGCTATAGGTGAATCCAGGTTTCGATAGCTTAATGAGGTTATAAATGCCTAGTTCTTCCCATTGCTGGGATTTTTTGGCTTCTACTTTCGCGAACCAATTTTGATAGGCAATATCAGAAGTAGGGCAAGATCTAAATGGTTTAAAATTGCTTTTTACATAATCCAGAACAAATGGGTCCTTGGGAGGAACAGTTGGGGTTTCTGCGGTATTCGAACTGAGGGATTCTACTACCCTAGGGGTATCCATTTTGTTGAATAAAGGTTTGAAGCTATAACATACGGGAAAAATTGTCCTGGTGTCCTTTAGTATTTCAAAAACTGTAAGAGGACCATTTAAGGCTAACCTCTTACCAGCAACATGGGTAGGGATGAGTACCTGTGATGCGTACAGCATTTCTTTTTCTTTGGAAATCATTTGAGGAGCAAGAGCAGATTGGCCTTGAATGGTGACGATTTTACTCTCCATGGTTGCTCCTGTAGTCTTTCCCTTCTTCTTTGAGACTTTCTTGAGTTGGGAAGAGGTGGAGGAAGACATTTTTTGTTGTTTAAGAGCTTAGATTGTTTATGAGAGAAGAAGAGTGAAAATTCAGAGTATGAAAGATTTAGAGTGTAAAAAAGGAAAAGGAAGAGTAAATTGACGTTTTATAATGAGAAGATTAAACATCCACCGAGTAAAAGTGTGATACGTGGAGATCATGGGTTGGTGTGATGAAGAGGTGGCGAGAAGGTGATATAGGTAATAGGCGTGATTTAAAAACAATCATTACTTATAACTGCTCCACGTTGTGAAGTGACTCTGGGCGGTTAAGAAACTCAAAAGGTGCTATGATTGATGTGACTGGAGTCAAAGGCATTAAATGTTGTGATGATTCGAAAATCCTATCAAAATCTTGTATAAATGTTTAAAATAGGTATTTCTCAAAGAGATCGAAATACATATTTTAAAGGGGCAATTTGTTGGCTGAAGATTTTGATAATGTTATCTAGAATTCAAAAGAGTTAAAAGTTCTGATCGAAATGGAATTGAACACCATATTTCGAAGTTGCAAAAGCAGTGTTTCGAATGAGTGTGTCAAAGCTTGAAGCTTCGAACGGTGATCATGGAAAATATCCAAAGGGGTCTCGAAACAACAGCGAGGCTAGGTTTGGGAAGAGCGTTCGAAACGGAGAAACACCAAAGCATTTAAAATTTAAATGGAAGCGGGACTTTCAAAGTTTGAAAGTTATGTGTTGGAGCATTTGGGGACACGTGGAAAGATGAAAGAAGCATTGTCTTGCATGTTCGAAACGTGGCATGATCCTATAGCGAGACCGTTAGGGTCGAATTAGTATAAATAGAAGTCTTAGTATTAGGATTTCGGTGTGTCATATCTGTTATACAAAATACTCAATAACATTCAAACTACCACATGGCAAGGGAAACGAATGCAAGAGAGATGTATGTATGATAGCACCATGTATTTCTAACTTAATGAAAGCCTTTTTACCATTTCCAGTACTTTCCTCTTTTCTTTTTATCGAATGACATTTACAAGTTTCTTTATTTATCGTCCTTTCATTTCAAAGTCTTTTCCTCAAAAGTTTTACTCTTTATTGCTTTCTTTATATTTCGAGCACTTTATATTTCAGAGAACTGTTACGCTTTCAATACCTTTACTTCCAAGTATTGTTTTTCAAACGCATCCTTTTACTTAAAATTGCATTAAACGCTTTCTTTACATTTTAAACTTCTACATTCCAGAAACCTTTTATGTTAAATGTTTTGCAAATCGAAATCATTTACTTCATTTTTCATACAGTTTTACATGTCTCTTCAATCAGCATTACAATTAGCATTTATTCGTATAATTTAGTTTTCATGTACAATTTGACCACATTTTTAAACTCTTAGAGAGAAGGATCGAAATAAACCAAACACTTGTATAATAGCAACCATGAATAATTGTTCGATTGTGAGAGTAACTTTAATATCCAATGAGTCCTAGGATCAATCTAGTCGATCCTGTGAGTTACCAGAGAGATTGAGTAGCGTTAATAAAGATTATTCGATAGTTTGGAAGACTAGCGGTTGTTTACCAGAAATCACTGGAAACACAAGGCCACATCACTCTTTGATTTGCCTGCATATTTTTCGTTCATTCTTTGTTCATGAGATTCAAGCTTCCCTTGAAGCTCTTCCTTTTTCAATTTCGACAAGTCTTTCCCCTCTTCTATCGCCACCACTATATGGTCGAACTTAGGATCTAAAGATCTCAAGATCTTCGAAACAACAGCTCTTGTTGTTAACGCTTCTCCAGATATCTTGATTTGATTTACTAGTTTTGTAACTCTAGTGAAGAAATCAGATATGCTTTCACTGTCTTCCATCTGAAGCAGTTCATACGTCCTTTTGTGAGTTTGTAACCTCACTTCTTTCACCTTCTCAGCGCCTCCAAAAGACTTCTCAAGAATCTCCCAAGCTTCTTTTGCAGATTCTGAATCACTAACCTTTTCGAAATTGTCTGAGCTGACACATTGATGAATTATAAATAATGCTTTATAACTCAGCTTCTCAGATTCTGTGTATTTCTTATTTTCTTCTTCTGAAGAATTTTCTCCAAGCGCTTCGACTCCATCTTTTACAAGGTCCCAAAGACCTTGACACCTGAATAAGACTTTCATCTCTTTGCACCAATTCTCATAGTTGTCAACTTTCAGAATTTGTAGCGTTGCTGGATAGTTTACATTCCCATAACTTGTCATCGTGAATTCTTCAATCGTTCTTGATTTATACTTCCCTTGAATCGAAACAAAAACTCTTGATACCAGATGTTGGAAATCCACCAATTCTATGATGAATTTCTACTACAATGACAATTTAATTATGAGACAAAACAAAGAATAGAAGATAAGACAAATTATTTCTGCAGAGTTTCTCTCTGCTCACAAACTGTGAAAACTTTCTTATTCACTTTGCAACTGCAAAATACTGTGAATGACTTGCTTGACTTTCTTACAAAAAAACTAGGGATTACTCTCTCTATTTATAACTGAACTTACACCCTAAGCCCAAAGCCCAAAATATCTATTTTGTTACTAAATCAAATCTAATCAATTCTAGACTTAAATCAAATCTATTTAAATCTAAAACAAATTTAATCTTTTCGACACATAGTTTATACACACTGGATTACAATTTAACAGAGAGAAATGAATAATAAGGTTTTTAGCATAAAAACCGTATTTATTGTCCAATTGTTAGATAGTGTTAAATTGATGTATTTTATGTGACTAAAAGTTAAGTGTGTTAATTTTATTTCTAGATCCCATGTGTGGTGGCAAAATCCTTTGATTTGTTTAGATTTAGGGTGAGGTTTTCATTCCTTATACGACAAAAGTGTTGTAAAATTTTGCATTCTCTACGATACATCTTGTGCAATAATTTCTCAACCAAACTCAAAGACACTGATCTAACCATTTCAAAGTCGAGAGATGGCAGAAAATAATTTTTAAGTTCAACAATATATTAATTAAAAAGTAAGAGTTTTGAAAAATTTAATTAAAAAGTATATAAGTTATTAGCTCAACAATATTAATGGAGTATTAGTCTATCAAAAATTTCAACTAAATAACTTAAAAGAAAATATTAAATTTATTGATTAAAAGAGTATACTATTGTAATATAAATATATAAATATTAAATCATAAGTTGTTTATTTTTCAAATATTTAAGTCACTTTACGATTTAAATGAGTTATTTTTATTATTTATTACTCTTTTACTTTTTCTAATATCATTAATAAGAAATAATTTTATAAATTTAATTATAAAAAGGACTAAGATAATTTATAGATGGAGTCAGTAAAACTTAATTAAATAAACTATTATAAGATTATTTTTTGTTATTAACCTTAGAATTTAATCAATATTTGATAAATTAAACAATAAGAAAAATAATTATATAAAATTTTGAAGGAGATTAAGTGAGCCTCTCCTGAAGGAGAAGCTTCCAAAAATTGACGGACAGGCCTAACCAAAGTAAGGAAGGACCCACCCGTACATTAGACAGGTGTGTTCGAAACTGTTTGTGTCGGCACAACTAGTCGTCTCTAAACGATCATGGACCAGTTGCCTTTCACCCCTGACAGGACAGGTAAGTTTTTCTAACGCTATCTTCTAAGTATTTATAAACGTGTTTTCTCGTTTTCTTTTATAGCTCAATCGATGTGGGACTATAATGATAATGGTTTAATTTTGTTATTTTTTTTGGTTTACTAATTTGAAGTTGAGAAGAATAGAATCTATAAATATAGTTCTCTGGCAAATAATTACATTCTTGACCTGTGTATATTGGAGCTGCTACAGATTGCCGTGAATTCCACTCTTGACCTGCCTTTATTCATTCATGTCGCGGAACCAAATCAACATTTGATGGAAAATATAATGAGGATGCCTAAACTAGATCTTTGCAATTATGTAAACTACATACAACTTCTTTCAATTATGTAAACATGATAAACAAGCTTTGTTGTGTGTGACTGTATATTAATCACAAATTTCAAATCCTGAAATACGGCAAAGCAGAAGTATAGTTCTCTTTTCACCTCATAATCTTGCTCAAAGAATCTAACAACTCCATTCTTCATCTCATCCAAAACAATAACTTCTATTCCATGATTAACAACTTGAAAGAAACCCCATGTCTCAGATGCTTCTCTAATTTTCTCAACAACTGTTTTTCTTCTCGTTGGATCTTGATGAATATCAACAAGGTCAACAGAAGGAACAACAAGTTTGGTGGTGCTAATTGAAGATGAAGCTGAATATTTATCAATTTCGTGATGGAACATGCGAGGGATGCTTGTAATAGAAGCATCAACTAGTCCTTTAACACCGTCTTTTGTTTCATCAAAAGCTTTCAGCTCATTAGCTCTATCATAGTCAGGTTTTATTGCCACCGGAATTTCACTGGTTTTAGAGATTCCCATTTTTTTCTGTCAAATTTTTTGGATGTAATTTTTCAAGACTTCTCTTTATGTATATGCAACAAGTGGGAGTCCTGAAGAGACAAGATTGCATTATTTGGGTGGTGGCTAAAATGGGCCACCATAATATGTGGCACAGAGTAGACAACCAAATTTGACAAATTTTCGGGGAGCATTATTATGTATTCACGTATTCAGTATTTTTTTTCGTTTGTTAAATCAAAAATAAAAAGGCTAGTCCTAACAAAATGAGGCTAGGCCATAGGCAAAAGTCTCGATGGTCTAGCTGCTATAGGGTATTTGTAGTTTTGAGGTGAATTAGGCTTGTGATTGTGTATACTTCGAGCATTCAATTTTAGATATGATGTTTTTTTTATGTTATAATTGTATCTCAGTATGTCGAATATGATCACATATAGTGTATATTTATATGCAAATAGGAAATATACAATTGAAAACAATATCAATTATACTAATTACTAATTGAATATCAATTAATACTAATTGATTGATAACGGATTCTTAACACTCCCCCTCAAGTCGGATCGTATATATTGTATGATCTGAGCTTGTTACAAATATAATTCTCTCGAGAACCCTTGAGAGACTTGGTAAACATATCAGTCAATTGATCTTCAGATTTGACAAATTTTGTGGTTATTTCTCCTGACAATACCTTGTCTCTTACATAGTGACAGTCTATTTCTATGTGTTTGGTTTGTTCATAGAAAACCGGATTGGACACAATGTGGAGTGCGACTTGATTGTGCATATGAGTTTTAGGGTCTGAAAGTCACCAAACTTAAGTTCTGAGAGAAAATTCTTAAGCCATGCAAGTTCTTTTGAGGCCGATGTCATAGCATAATATTCAACTTCAGCACTAGATAGTGCAACAGTGTTTTGTTTTTTGCTCCTCCATGAGATCATATTTCCTCCAATAAGAACACAATATCCAGAAGTGGATCTTCTATCTGACGGTGGTCCTGCCCAGTCTGCATCTGAATAACAAATGATTTTAGCATCACCCTTATCTTTATATAATAGGCCCCTTCCTAGTGCATTCTTTATATATCTGAGAATCTGAATAACTGCATTCCAATGAGTATCACAAGGAGCATTCAGGAATTGGCTCACAATGCTCACTACAAAAGTAATATTCGATCTGGCGACGGTAAGATAATTGATTCTACCCACTAGACATCAATATCTTCTCGGGTCTTTCAACAACTCCCCCCAACCCGAAAGAAGCTTGACGTTGGAATCCATATGAGTATCAATCGGACGACAGTCATTTATACTAGTTTCAGTTAGGATGTCTAATGCATACTTACGTTGGTTAATTGCAAAGTCTGTTGAGGACTGAGAAACTTCAATACCTAAGAAGTATCTGAGTGGACCTAAATCTTTTGTCTGAAAGTTTTTGAAAAGGTGAGTTTTTAGTCGCTGGATACCCTTTGTATTGTCTCCAATGATAACAATGTCATCAACATAAACCACAAGAAAAATATGTTGACCGGTGGAAGAGTGAAGGAAGAAAACAGAGTGATCTGCTTCACATCTAGTCATACTAAACTGTATTAAGGCAGAGCAGAAGCGACCAAACCAAGCATGTGGAGACTGTTTCAGCCTATAAAGAGAGCGATGAAGTCGACAAACAAGTCTTGAATTACCAGGAACAATAAAACCGGAAGGTTGATCCATATACACTTCCTCCTTCAATTCTCCGTGTAAGAAGGTATTTTTAATGTCCAACTGATGAAGTGGCCAATGATTAATAGCAATCATTGCAAAGAAGAGACTGAATGAACTAATCTTGGCCACTAGAGAAAAAGTGTCACCATAATCAAGACCAAATATCTGTGTGTATCCCTTGGCTACCAAACAAACTTTAAAACAATCAATCTGACCACCTGGTCCAACTTTCATTGTATAAACCCATCGACATCCCACTGTAGTTTTATCTGAAGGAAAAGGAACAATGTCCCAAGTTTTATTTGAATGCAAGGCAGCCATTTCTTCCACCATCGCCTGACGCCAATTGGGATCGGTCATAACTTCACCTGTAGACTTAGGAATAGACACAGAATCCAAAGCAGACACAAAAGATTTATATTATGATAATTTAAAACACATACATATTTAGGATTTGTATTATGATATCTAATACCTTTTCATAATGCTATTGGAAGGTCAAGTTCAGGTGACGTAGCTGGAGGAACAGTTGGAGTAGGGGATGATGATGGTGGATCGATATCATCTCTAATTGTCGATGGACGCGTCGCTGATATACTTGCAAAGAAGGTTTAATGGGAGTGGGGATGACATAAGGGATATCTTGATCATCTAAATTACAAGTTTCATCGGGTGACAAAGAGTCAGAGAAGAAAGAGGAACCTTCAAAGAATGTAACATCGGAGGAGACAATGTACCGTTGAAGTTGAGGACAAAAACAACGATATCCATTTTGTATACGTGAGTAGCCTAGAAAAATACATTTGAGAGATTTAGCGGAAAGTTTGTCTTTACCTGGACTAAGATCATGAACAAAGCATATGCAACCAAAAATGCAAAGGGGAATGGGGTAGAGATCATATTGCAGATTCAAGATAGAGTATGGAATCTGATCTTGAAGGACCGATGAAGGCATTCGGTTGATAAGGTGACATGCGGTGAGGAGATCATCACCCCAAAAACGAGAGGGTACATTGTGGTGAAGTAAAAGAGTTCGTGTGGTTTCAACTAAATGACGATTTTTTCGTTTAGCAACACCATTCTGTTGTGGTGTATGAGCACATGATGATTGGTGAATAATTCCTTGTAATGTTAAAAAATATTTAAACTAGGATGACATATTGCTGAAGCGGTAAAGCGGCAAGTAAAAAGTAAGTTATTAATTTATCGGGTAATATAGGTTATATTGTATCGTGTCCACAGAGATTGGTTATTGAATCGTCGTTCAACAAATCATTCGTTAATGAGTTTGGGGTTTGAATGGTATAGAAAAGAAAAGTATCAACTTAAAATAAATGTAAACAAAAGAGAGAAAAAACTAAGGAAGAACTTATCAAGCCTGCATATAATCTACTCATCACAGACTTAAATCTATCGACCAGTTACATTCAACCTAACAATACTCATCAGTGTCACTACGTATCACTCACAACCTAAGTCATTTCTAACCCAAATTGAGAGACCGACTATATCACCAAGGAAATAATCTCTCTATCTCCTCAACAACACAGAAGACAACTATGTAATCGCACTGACGATCTCTCAGCCCAGCACAACCACACAGAGGCATTAAGCTTTGATACCCAAGTGTGATACGGTGGGAGAACTGACTTGAGGGTTTTGTGTTTTATCGCAAATGTTGCGGTTAGCAAGAGTCGCCACCGACTTTTCTTTTATCCAAAAGGAAAGGTGAAAAAGCACAGGAAAGACCTTTGAGATGTTTCGGGGGGTAGATCATGAAAAGGGAAGGTATTAGCACCCTTTTCATCCATGGTTTTTTATGGGCTCTTAGTTACTTGCTTCGATCACTTGCTTTTGGTTTGTTTGAAATTGTGTTTGGTGTGGTTTTGAAAGTATTTTGTAAAAGAGGCCATTCGTTTAGGCAATCTTTGTAATGATTCTCGTTCGTAAGAATGTATACAAAGATGTTTGTCTTTTGGAAATGTTTTCAATATTTGTAAGATGTTCTTGAAATGTGTGTGTTTGTTTTGAAAAAATAGCAAGGATAGTTGTTTGAAATTAGAGCGAGTAACTAGAAGTAATCTATCTACTCAAACGTCTTTCTTATGCATTTTCTATTCCTTTGACATTGTTGTCTTACCATTGATTTGGTAAGCAACCCTATCTTTGGATGTAAACGGGACGGGCGTGGGTCATCGTATAACCATGATTAGCAATGTTTGCAAAGTATCTTAGCATTTTTGAGGGACCAAGATCATTTTTGTAAGGCAACTTAGAATAGCGTCATCGAGGGACTATGATCTTTATATTTGTTTGTTTTGCCAAGATACTTCGCATGCGTAACATGGCTGTTTTTGCATAAGGCAACCAAGTGGAGAAACCCTAAGGATGCTTGTGTGCAAGTGTATCATTTTCATGCTTTGGTTTTATCTTGTATTTAGGGTTTTCTATTTTGCTTTGTTTTGATCTTATCATACAAACCCTAATTACTAATCATGGCATGTAAAGCGGTAAATTGCGTAATGTAAATATTACTAAGCTATTACAACAATTTTATGGGAGAGGGGAATACAAGTTTGAATGGGGATTTGCAAGAATATAAACCAAAATAAATTATTACAACCAAATCGAATTTGCATGAATATTAGAATAAATAAAATACAATATTTAAAGATGCAATATAATGTACATGTAAGAAAAGATTTTTGTCTTGTTTTTATGTAAAAGAAATTTTAATCCAAACCTAAAAATATAAGGAAAAGAAATTAATTTTTAGAAGGGAGGCTTAACCTTAATTATTATTTTAAAAGAAAATAAAGTTCTTATATACTATTTTTTATGTATTTTTTGTATTGAAATAATAAATAATATTGTATAAAAATATGAAGTTTTTATATATGCAAAAATAAATATTTATAAGTATGGAATGAAAAAATAAATTAAATTAAACATGTTTTAATTATATTTTACAAGTTTATTAGGAAAAATAATATATATATATATATATATATATATATATATATATATATATATATATATATATATATATATATATATATATATATATATATATATATATATATATATATATATATATATATATATATATATATATATATATATATATATATATATATATATATATATATATATATATATATATATATATATATTTTGAAGATAAAATATATTATTATGTGCAAAATAAAATAAAGTAAAATATGATATTATCAAATTTATATTTTTTAGGATTTTTATGCATCAAAGAAAATATTTAATGTATTAAAATGAAAATAAAACAAATAAAATAA